GCAAGTTTATAGTAAATATAGTAATAGCAAATATTAGACCAGTGTTTACAAGATCAAATTCGATTATCAAAATATAAGTCATTTACGGCGTAGAAAGCCTTGTCTAGTAAATAAGATTTCAATGCTTTGCGAAATGAAGAAAATGATGTTATGGATTTGATTTCAAATGGCAGGTGATTGTGCATTTTCTTCGAGTTGTATAATATTGAACTTTTAACTAACTCTGAGCGTGGGGTAGGTAGATAAAGATCTTGCTCCGCGTTCCTGAGTGGATAAGTGTGAGATGGCCTTTCTTGAGAAGCTGATACATGCTTACGTATTAGGCAAACGGATTCAAATATAAATAACGAAGGAAGAGTTAATATTATTATTTTTTTTAAAAAGTCCTGGCAATGAGTTCTGCTGTTTAGACCCAACGAATATCGAACAGCTCTCTTCTGGAGCTTGAAAATGCGGTCAAATTGATTCGCACAACACGTACCCCAGAAAGGAAGGGCATATTTAAGGTGCGACGCAAAAAGTGTAATAAGCATAATAAAACAGTTCTAGCCACTGACAAGTTTTGCTGCAGATTCATTTGAAATTTTGTCTCCTTGTTGGGGGTAAAACGTTCCACCGTTTCCATTTTTATTCTCCTCATTCTTGCATCTCGTGTTCCTTTTTGATTCCGCATTAAGTGGGAAAACAATAATGTCTTAAATTGTTCGGCGCACAATGAAGATGGCGAACGCAGATAGCTCGGAGCGCGAGTACCGGCCAAGAAGGATTTTATGACTTCTTTCTTAGCCGAGGTACTTAAGAAATCCGAACAATGTTATCAAGTGCCCAGCGGAGAGGTGGGGTTAGGCATTTTTTCGGACCCTTCCAATAGGCGTTGGTCTCTAGTTAAGTGTTTTTTTTTCGCTCTCGGTTTAGGTTTAATATTCTACTTTGTACAAGACAATGGAGTCTAACTTTTCCAAGGTTTGATCATATTTAAAACATAATAACCCTGATTAAAACAAAAAAAGTACTTTCAAAGTTGATATTTAAAAAGTATGCGAATTCATCCATTTGTGTAAATTCTGACAAAATTTCAGATGAATCTGCAGCTATAAAACGGGATGTTTCAGAAAACCTGTGCCATCTCTCATAGGGAGATTCATCATGTAAAAATAAAATTTATTTTTTATATCAATGTTACGGGAAATACGCGAAATTAGTTAATTCGCGAATGATCCGGTTAAAACGCGAATTAACCAACACAATCGGTTACTGCTTAAAGAAACAAATATATTTTAAAAATGTTCGCAAATTATCCGGTTAGCACGCGAATTATACGATATGATTGGTTATATATTATATATATCTGCCATTATGCAATTTAACAATTAATAGCGCAACATTTCTTTTCAGTTATGTGAGATAGCCATTGTTAACCCTTTTATAAAAGAATTTATCGGTATTTTACAAAAAATCATCGTCATGTTTTTTTTCTGTGCCGCTCCAGACAAAGGAACCAATTAGAGATAATGAGGTGTATGTTCTTTTTTATTGCTATTTTTTATTGCCTTTGGTCTACACTCAGAGCGACAAAAAATATATAAAATATTCGTTTTCACAACGAAGTCTTATGTACAGGGACATCATTTTAAATGTAGTCTCACTCAATTTACTATTTTCCCAATTTTCCTGTTTCCTATTTAAGATAGTAAAAAGATTTAATATATTTTCTTGCGTGAACGCCGGTTTTCTGCCACAAATTTTTTAAAGCGTCAATTTTGACAGATACGACGTTATCTTGATTTTTTTTAAATGGAAACAAATATATTTGCGCTTACCGTTTCCGATATACAGTGAATTTAAAATGAAGTATGAACTGTTCCCCCCAGAATCATTTTAAGTGTCTCACCCAATTTAGAATTTTCTTGT